TGTGTGTGTGTGTGTGTGTGTGTATGTATGTATATATATGCATATATTTAGTGGCAATAGAGGTGTTGGCATTTAAATTAGCTTGTGTTTTGAGGGAGCATAAAAGTGATGTGCTCTCCCCTTCTCCCAGTTCTTATACTGTTTCTCCATCTTCCTCCCATTTGGTGTGAGTCACTGATTTAATCAACCACTATTATTAATGGGAGGTCACAGTAACCCTTAGGTATATTGGGACAGAAAAGAACCTAGGAAGCACTGGCCTAGAGGAACTTGTATACTCTTATTGTCAGTCAATGAGAACTGTGTAATTCATCATGGTTCCCTTTTTGCCTTAGCTGCTAAGAAGCTCAGCAATAATAGTGATACAGATTTCTGGTACAAGTAAAAACAGTTTCTGGTACAAGCGAAAATAAAGAGGAGATATAAGATATTAAAAAAGTTGATATAGTTCTTTCTGATTATAAAAATCCATGTCTGGGAGGGTGGTGATGGAGAATTAGTGTTTAATGGGTACAGAGTTTCAGTGGGGAAAATGAAAAAGTTCTAGAGATGGGTGGTGGTGCATAACAGCGTCAATGTATTTAATGCCACAGAGCTGTACACTTAAAAATGGTTAAAATGGTAAAATTTATATGTTAAAAAATTATGTCCTTAGAAATCTTAGAAAGTAGATAAAATATAAAGAAGAAAAGCATTTATAGTCTCACTCCCTAGAGAGAATCATGAATAACTTTTTGGTATATTTCCTTTCTCTTTTCTGTGTACACACACTCACACACACTCACACACACACACTGACACACTCACACACACACTCTCTCAAATAAGATTGAGGTCCTGTTATAGATACAGTTCCCGCTCCTCTTCTTCATTAATGTATTGTCCTCTTTGTTTCCCCATCACTTAATATTTTTTGAAAAAATAATTTAAAATGGCTACATAACATTTTATGCTACCAATATAACATTTTTATTTAATAGACTTCAAATTTGGAGGTATCTGGATTTTTTTTTCCTATTTTAAAATAATTTCTGTGTTTATATTTTTGGTTACTTTTATTTAGACAAAGATTATGAACATTTAAGACATCTCTTATCTGGGTATGTATTGCCATATTTTGCTCCAGCAAGGTTATAACAATTCACAATCTTACCAACATTTATTTCTTCTTTATCTTTAGTTTGACTGTTTTAATCATATTGGCATAATAAGCTTCTTCACGTTATTCTTGGAAATGTTTGCAACATGTGTAAAATAAAAAGGGCCAAATTTCTTACTGTGTGAAGAGCTTTTATAAATCAAGAGGAAAAGAGAAAAACTCACTGGAAAAATATGTAAAGTACTAAGGACATGAACATGGATTCTGCAGAAAAAAAGTTTTAAAAAAATTGCTTCTGGCATGAAAAGATGCACAGTATTATTCAAAGAGTTACAAATATAAAATGACAGGATACCATTTTTTATTATACTTACCAGGCTAGGAAAGACCAATAATAACAACAAAATACCATAATACAAGTTTGGGGGAATAAGCATGTAAGTATTCTCATATACTATAAGCAGTAGACTATGGTGGGAGACTAACTTGTACAGCCTTAAGGAGTATGTATTTTTAATGTTACAATTAAAATTCACCTGTCTTTTGACTTGGCAATTCTGTGTCTAGGGGTATGTATCTATTACTCTAAGTGTACAAAGATATATGAAAAGGTTGTTCACTATAACGTTGTAATAGCAAAAAAGACTAGAAACCTGAGTGTGCATAAATAAATAGAAGTGGTACATTTATGCAGTAATATCGCTAGATAGCTAATAGAAAGAATGAAAATAGGTTAGACTGGTCTGATACGGAATGATCTCTAAGATATGTTGGTAAATAAAAAATCCATAGAACATTTATAGTATGCTCTTTATATAAAAGAATCAAAAGCTTATAGATGGTGAATATGTATGCTGAATATATACACACATATATGCCTATTTTAAAAGATACCCAAGAAACTAATAATAGTGCTTGCCTCTGGAGAGGGAGAGTCTAAGGATCTGTGATGGGAAGATGACTGACTTTTCCCTGTATTGTTTTCTGTCTGTATGGATTAATGTCTTAAATAATAGACTAAACTGTTTGTACTATTACGTAGAGAGAAAGCATGTTTCCGTAGAGCAAAGGTAGACTTCAGCTAAGGTGTTGTCTAAAATAGAAATTTTTGAAGAACTGATAATCTGTTTAAATGCTTTGAGTGTGTCTCTAATTTGACTTTGCATCCCCATTGTCTACCTGGTGCCTGGCTCAGAATAGGCCCTTGGTAAATATGTACTTAGTGAAATAGCAATCTAGATCATTTAATATGTTAATTAAAATGGAACTGAAATCAGCAAGTGTAAAATCAAGGAGAATAAAATAAGCTATTCCTTTATTCTCTGATAGTATTAAATAAATGTATTTTAGTTTTACTAAGTCTTAGGCTAAACATCTCTAGGTAAAGTAGGTGAAAGTGAAGCTGCTGTTACAGGGGCCTGGATCCTTGTGTGCTTAACTCTAGTGGGAGCTGCCAGGCTCCTCCAATGTGAAAAACAATCAACCATTTGAAGTACAGCATAAATACATTTATTTTGAGTGTCTACTTTATATAGCTTTAGTTAATTTTTTTCTGCTCATCTCATTTTAAAGTATACAGTGTTCTACAACTATTGATATTGCTCTTTGGATTTTATAAGTTGGTATTGCTATTGGTGTTCTTAATATTTATTTTCAATGAATAATTTCAGTGAAATATTTCAAGAAATTCTTGTGCATGTATTAACATTTGTTTTTCTCTTGATTATTTCTCTTTTTTATTCTTTGTTATAGTATTTTTAAGTACAGAACTTCAAGCCTCACAGATATTACAGAACAAGAAATGTAAAAATTCTCAATTAGATAAGAATAGTGAAATTCATCAGGAAGTTCAAGCTATGTGTGATACCCTTGGTGTACCCAAGTCAACAACTTCTGACATTCCACTTATGCTAAACCAAGTGGAATCAAAGGTATAATATTTGTTTTACTTTTTAATTTCTAAAAAATTCAACTACATGCTAACATGTAAATGCTATATTAAAAATGAAAATATTCACTTTAAGTGGTATATATTTCATTTCTTGAGAAGTTTATTTTATGTAAACTGAATTTTGGATTTGAGCTTAATTACATTTGACTTAATTTGTCTAAAGCTAATGTTCAGGAATCAAATCTTAATCAGTGAGTGCCCTTAGGCTTTGCCAGGGTTTGCCATGATAGAAATCATTTTGCAAATTTAAGGATCACTTTCCTAACCAGAATTATAATACAGTATAGTGAAGTAATGTTATCCTACAAAATCAAAAGGCAAACTAAACTTTTCTCTTTTAATGGATGTTAGTATTAATAGAATTGAAATGTGGTTTATTTGGCAGTGAGCATGCACACTTTCTAGTGGATAAGTGTTTAGTAAGTATGTATTGTGGAGAGAATGGTTGATGAATGAATGAGTGTCCTGGTGGAATAGTTAAAAACAACCACAAACTCTACCTCATGCATCTAAAAAGGTTTTTTTTTTAAATTAGTGAACTACCCTTGCTCCCAGTTGACCCATATGTTAGAGAGCATGCTACTCTTGCAGACTGAATTCTGGCCTAGTTCCTAGGTTTCATCTGTTAAATATGGAGTCCTATAGGGGAATAATACAAGATCCATTGTAAAGGAAAAGAAAATTCTTCTAACCCTTCAGAATAGGTACTATAACTCCATTTTTAGACACATTGCCTTAATTAAATCCTTGTTCAATAAAGATCTCTTTTGCATTGATAATTAAGGAACCAGAAAATAAGATTTGTCTTAATGAATGTAAGAGAATTTTAGTATTAAGATGAAAACAGAATATTAAAATTTTATTTTTTTAGAACTTGCAAACCAGAGAGTAAGTCTGTGAATCTTATGAAAAATGAAAACGTTCCTCTAGAGTTAATTTACTCTTCAGAATATTTGCCTCCTTTCCTCTGGATTAAGAATGATCTGGGGTTGACTAAAATTTCTGGAACTATTTCATATTGAGACGGATTTCTGGGCTCTTCCTAATCTTCCAGTGCTTTCATATATTGATCCTAAAGAGTCTTTTCCCTTTTATTGTTTTCAGTAAGTATTAACAACACTCTCAAATCCTTTACTTGAAGCAGGCTGTAATGCCTGTGTTCAAATACTGGCAGACTATAATAAGTAATTCTCAAACTTATTAAAACTGTTATCTAATGTTGAAATCCTAGGAATGGAGCTGAATGTGATTATATGTAAGAACCTACAAATATGCATTAAGAATTCCTAGAGTGAGGAGTTACAGCTAACAC